CATATCGATCTTGTAACACTCATATAATTATTTCTTGAAAATATCGTGGGGCGAAAAGTGGCCTTAACGCCACCTGTCCTTTTTTATCCCAATACGAAAAAAAAAGGAACAACATACCCTATTTAAGATTGGAATATATATATATGTAATATGTAAATGTATAAATATCATAATTATGTACATAATTGTATCTTGCACCTTCTGAAAAAAAAATAAAATTTATTAGAATACTTATTCAATCTATTGTTGATACAATAGATCGATTGAATTGAATGATTTTATACAAGAAAATCATTCCTTATATAGGATATTTGAAAAACATGAACTATCACTCAATGATAATGATTAATAGATAATCATCGACGATCAATTTATCGTCAGTCGACGATGAATATGTACTTATTCTATTTACATCACATTCACAGCCGTAACTCAGTGACTAAAAAAAAAAGAAAACAAAAACAATTCATTTCAATGGTTATTGTTTGAATTTCCATGTAGGAAATTTCATTCTTTACTTTGACATCATTTTCATTGCATTATGATGATTATTTTCGAAAACTGAGATTTCTTCATTACTTTCATTAGTTTTGTACGATTTGAATCCTTTTTATAGAATTCAAGGTCTTTCTTTTTCGTCCTTCTCATCATGAATTAAGAGCTCGATTTTCATCAATGATTTTCAAACAACATTAAAGAATACTTATGGTTTATTCATCACAAATGACTTTTTTTTTTGTCATTTTATAAGTCACACTCTCAAGATCAACAATTATGTGAACACGTTCCACCATCCCAAAGAGTTAGTTTAATTTGTAAACAACAATCTAGATATTGTGTATATCTGATGTTAAATCGCCTTACAAGACATGCACATGTTTGAGTTTTTAATGAAACTCTACATTAATTAATTACTAAACGAGCTTTATTGTAAAATATTTTCGAATACATATTTGTTTTCATACATCAATTCTTTTCGAAATATCACTTGATTGATAATAATAGTCTTTATGATAAAGATATTGATGTTGAATTGATAGTTATTATTTGTCATGATTTATCAGGTATAGATGATAGTTCCAGAGAAATAGATTACTGTTTTCATAATGGTTATTCTAATTTTAAGGACTGATATTCAGAGTTTTTAGAACATATTTATTTAAAATAAGAATCTTCAACTCATATTAATAAATTGTTGATGTTGTACTATCATCACTTGATGGTGAATCATATTTAGGGATCTTTTTCAATGGGTCAACGATAAAAGTTTTGCTCCGAAATAATTCGAAACGGTTTCTGTATCAATTTTTAGTTGCTGTTGTCATTGATCGTTGTATTTGTCTTTCTTGTTATCATTCGTATTTCTAGATATGCTACTAGCACCGACTTCATAAAAAGATTTGTTTACATTATTCTATCAAGAATTCTTGTAATGCAAAAAGAAGAAACTATGCTTATAACTTGTTTTCTATTCTTGACGAAACTACTCATTGAAACTCAGTACTGTAGCTGAAAATTCACGAGAAGCTGTTTACTTCTTAACAAAAAACAAAAACATCCAGAAAACACAATAAAGAACATGTACACATTATTTGAATATTAAAATTTTCTTTATGAAATAAATACTTGTAAAATTTGTCTTTATGATGAAAAGATACAGTAAAACACACTCTACAATATGATTTTTTATTCACTTCACTATTTCATGTAGTGAGAATTGACATAAGAATGCAACGTAACTCGTTCGTTAAGTCTCAGAGAACAAATTCTTTGTGTAAAATTGAAGATACATCTTGTTAAGATTCTTTTTTTGAATTACAAATAAATAAACTATCTTATAAGATTTTCAAGCAAGGTCGAACTTAGTTATGTTAACTTCTTCACTTTCATTAAAAAGCCACATTTTTTTTTTATTTTTAGAAAGTTTTACCTCAATAAATTCTTTTAAACTTTCAGTAAAAAAGATAAAACATTCAATGAAACAAAAATAAATCAAAGTATTTATAAAATCTTAGTTTCAATTCACATATACAACATGACAGAACAATGAAAAAGAAAAGAAATTAAACAAAATAATAAGACACTACTGTCAACTGTACTTTCTTAAAGATGATTGAAACTTTCAATTATTTTGTATTATGATATGACCATTGCTTATACTATTGTGATTTCTATGATTATATAATGATGAAAAATGACTCGTATAGAAATTTGAATAGTGTAATTTTGTTCTCAGTTTTTATGAATCTATGACATTTGTTTTCCACATAGTTATTTCTCAACAAATACTTTGTAGAAAATTCTGATCAACTGATAAATAAATATATTGAAATTAAATTATGTTAAGTTAATAAAGAAGTACAGTTATCAAGTCGAATTACCAAATCAGTTTTACATCCTTCTTATGACTTCATACATCTTAGTTTTCGCGTAATTATTTATGAATGATATCAATTTATTATTTAAACTTTAAATTGAAAAAAAAAGAACATGATTTTATTTGATTATTATTGTTTATGAGTACAAGCCAGAAAATTTGTTTGATTATAATAAAAGTCGATTGTTTTATCAGTACATGCTCCTCCTCCAGTTGGACCCACATGTGGACAATGTATAGATGGTAATAAAGGTACAAAATATGTATGAACAAAACGGCAAATAACATTTCCTTCATCTGCTCTATCATATGAAGCATAAGGTATTTGTGTTCTTAAAAATTGTTGACAATCATTGAAACTTGAATATTGTTGTAATATTCCAGTACAGAATCTTTGTGTAACATTACATATCGTATTTATTTTTGCTTGACGTTCTTCATCTGTACGTGGATCTAATGTTAATCCAACATTTCGTATTTTGTCCATCATATCCACATATTTTATAATCTTTATCAAAAGCAACAGTTGTAAAAAAAGTTAATCGTATATTATTACTTAAATGTGCTATAAATTCAATGTGAGTGATCAAATATTTTTCATCATAAGCAATACGTGCTAAATCAAATGATTGAATACCATATTCTTCTGCTGATATGTTTCGTATAAATACTCAAGAGCTAAAATTGTGCTTGGAAATGTTCCAATCGGTATAACACAACCAGATAAACCTTTTGGAGATATATATTTAGATTGTATATTATTATCATTGAATAAAACTTGAGAACAGATTGGAGGTAATAATGATAATAATGATCGATATGTGGCAGCGTATAATCGTTGATAAATCTTGTTTTTATTCTGTGGTAAATTATGCCATCTTCGACATTGACAAAATGATAATTTCATTTTTATTTATCTTAATTGTAAAATTTGAAGATAGAGATCTAAAAATAATACAAAAAAAAAACAAGGAAATGATAATGTTAATTGTATTATTCATATAACATTGAATAACTCAATCAACAAACTACGAAATTATAGCTAGGCTTTTTTTTAAATATATATACTCGAAAATAAGAGTCTCGGGATTTATCGATTGTTTCTGCTTGATTGGACATGTTTATCATAATAGTATATTTTGGTCGTTATTTGCCCCTGATTGACATCAATGTTGATGATAAAAGTTTCATTCTTACCCAGGCAGTCAAGATCGGAAAAAAAACGCGTTTAAACGCATTATTTTAACGTTTTTTTTCGCTTGAAAACGCTTCGAAAAACGGCAAAAGCGCACATTCTAACATGTATAAACGCGATATTTTGTCTTTTAAGTGAAAAAAACGCGTTTATATGCGTTGCTCAAGCGTTTAAAAGTCGTTTTTTGCTGGAAAACGCGTTACAAAACGTTAAAAGCGCACATTTCAACGCGTAAAAACGAGTTTTTTCTCTATTGTTGACTGACTGGGTAGAGATGAGTATTACAAAAACCCTACATTATTATTGGCTGTTTCGATTGGTATATGCAATTAATGGGTTTATATAGATGAGTGTAAAACAAACAAATTTGCAGTGCATAGTCCTATATACGTATGTAAAACATTCGAGTATTTTAAAATATAAGCGAAAACAAAGCAGAATTAAAATTATCTAGGATTTTTCATCGCAACATTTTCTTTTTCATGACTACTACTCAAATATATTGCAATAGAATGACATGAAACTATGATAAGATTATTGTGAATGATTCGGAAGAGATCATTCCTGAAATAAAAATAGCTTTTATTGTTATTTATCACGAAAATAAATTTTCAACCTTATGATACCAAATAGAATAAAAAGTAGAGCAAGAAAAAACAAAACAAAATAATTTCTTGTTTTAACATAAATCTACAACTATAATATAAGATTGTTTAGAGATGAATGAAAATTAATAGATGGCTCATATCCTCTCTGCATGTTTCATTATTATTATATTTAGAAAATAATTGCTAAGAGTGACAGACATTTTCATATAAGAGATCATTGCTCAAGCACAATTTTGAATAGATATTTTTCAAATGACAGCTGAAAATCAATTGTTTCGATTGATATGATCAAAATCATAATGCTTTCCGAGTATATAATATGAAAAAAAATTCGGATTTTCAAAGAAAATCCAGCAACTTCAAAAGAAAAAAATCCGATAGGCTTTTGTATTACAATCTTTGATGAAAAAATAAGCGTCTTGTTTTTATCGATAGATCGTTGATTCATGTGACGTAGATTATTTTTATTCTTGTTAATTACAATTTAAATTGATTAAATAATAAGATAAGTAATCATTTTAACTGTTAAGTAAGCTTGCACATTGTATCAATCAAAAGCACAGGGGGTAATAGATTGTCAGATAAGAAATGAGTAAGACAACATGTGATGACGTAGTACGTTGTTTTTTTATATGTATGGATTATTAATGATATTAAATGACACAAAGATATTGAGCAGTTTTTAATGTTAGCCTTCAATTGATATATTCTGAACACCATTCTTCTTAGTTTCATGAAGAAAAAAAAAGTGTTGTTATTAGATGATTATTTTGAAAATTTTAAACAAAAATACTAAATTAAGTGATAAGTCAGTATCATATTTTTTTGCATCGATTAAAACTAGACATCAAAGTGTTACATATGATAATAGTCATATTGGAGAAGTTATTTCATTGTCAAAGAAGCATGATGATGATAGTCATACTGGTATCCTCCGATAGTTCGTAGAAAAAGAGGAACGTCATTTGTAGAAATAAAAAAAGAGGCGTATTTTTTTATTTCTAAAATGCGAACAAAGGCTACTGCGAAGTTCAAAAGTCAATAAATTAGAGAGTCATTAATCTGAATTCAATACAGACTTGAAAAACTCCAAAGATAAGAGTGGTTTTCAGTTGTTAACATATGTGGTCGTGTTTTTTTTTCTATCGAGTTCACAAAAAAAGACAAGTACAGAAAACAGACAAAAAGGACAGGATCTATTTCAAAAGTACTTGACTATGATATCAATTGACCCGAATATCTGTAAACAAAGAAAAAGAAATTAAAAATAAAACACTAACTATTCAGAATGTGTTAAGTTTATAAGAACATGAGAGAATAAAAAGCTAATATAAAAAAAAAGACGTAATTGAACACACACATTTATAAGTCAAGAAAATGCCACAAATTCAATTCAAAAAAAAGCTTTCAAAGTTTATTTCTCAAATCTATGACTAGAATTTCTATCGCGTTATCGGAAGTTCTTCTTACAAACACAACAATACTAATTCTGATAAATTATTGCGACTTAATACAACTTGGCATTCAATTGAAATTAGAGTAATATATACAAGAAAAATTGTACGTTCATGTCGATCTCTCTATGAGAAGACTGTTATTTATATAGTGGCGAGTTGGGCATATATGTATTTACTGCCAAAGAACAAAGTGACAAAAAACAAAACAATTAAATACAATAAAAATAAAGTTAAAGATATTCTTTTATAGTCATTTTTGGGCACTTTAACGCGTAGTTGTAAGTTAAGAGAATAAATTGGCACGATGGTGGAATAATAAAGAAAATGTTCACCAGCAGTGCTAACATTGTATAAATGAAGAGTCACAGCAGCGTCCAGCCTAAAATAAAAAAGTTGTGCTGGACGTGCCGTGGCGAATCGCCGATTGGGTCACGTACTTCAGCTTGAATGTAAACGTAAAGAGATAGACCAGCTGTATGTGCCATGGCTCCAGGCCGTTGGGTCACAAGTACAGCGCAATCCACTCTACATGTTGAATGCCAAGACATCCAACACGAGGAATTTGCCTTCTCGGCTTTGGTGTCACTTGACACAACTGTTTTGCCTTTTCGGCTCTGGTGTCACTTGACACGACTGTTTTGCCTTCTCGGCTCTGGTGTCACCTGACACGACTAGTTTGCACTTAGTATGTTAAATTCGCCTTTATCCGGGATAAACTATTTAAGATCAGCTATATAATATTTATAATGGGAAATGGATGGGCGGGTATTGAAAAGTTAACTTGAATAAATGTTGAAGTTTTAACAAATTAAACAGGATTATATGAATAGCTTTTCACTGAATTAGAGCACGAGAAGATGATAATGAATAACAACTTAGCTACACATGATAATGAACTTCCAGCTGAAACGAGCGCTATATATTGAATTAGATGGTATTCGAGCTTCGCTTCGAATACGAAATGCCCTGCGAAGCACGAATCTTTCGAGGGTGTGGGTGATTGTCATCAACAGATACCCGTACCACACCCACACCCACCCACACCCCACACATCCCACACCCCACACCCCACACCCACACCCACACCCACACACCCACACACCCACACCTACCCACACCCACACCCACAAGAAAAATAAGAAACAAATACTACCACCTTAGACAAAAAGGAATATTATGCGCAGAAACAAGAGTTTTATTGCGTGTTATGACTAAAGAATCAAAGAATTTGATAAGTAAATATAAAGCAGATCGATGGCAAAGTTTTTTGTCAGACATCCAGTCAACTCATGCTAACAAAGATCAAGCATATTGGAGGCACCTATCTCGTATATATAGAACAAGATCACTGCCATTCTATAAATTAGCAACAAATAGCAGAGTACTATCGACACATCAAAAAATAACAGAAGAACTAAGACGACATTATTGTGATCAATTTCGAGCACCTTTAGTAGACCCTGTTGATGCACATGACGCTGAAGTAGAGTCGGAATATAAAGAACTGTTAACTAAATTATCCAATAGTAACAAACCAGTGAGAGCTACTAGTGTTGGAGAAATTAGAAGATTAATAAAGACATTAAAACCCAAAAAATCAAGTGGTTTTAACCAAGTGTCAAATTTTATGATTAAAAAACTGCCTCCGAGCTATATAGAATGTCTGACCAATTGCTTTAATATTTGGTTGAATGAATGTAGATATCCTGATGAATTAAAAGTAGCAAAGATCGTAACCTTAAACAAACTGAAATCAGGTGCTCCCAAGTGCGATCAAACTCGTCCAATCTCTCTGTTAGCAATACATTCAAAACTCTTTGAAAAAGTTTTGCTTCTAAGAGTCAGAGAATGGGCACAAAGTAATCAATTAGTTTCTATAGAGCAATCAGGATTTCGGCCAAAATGTCTACTTCCTACTCGAGTACTATCAATCTATCAAGAGATTAGAAACAACATGGCAGCCAATGTACCTACACTCGCGTTCTATGTAGACTATCAGAAGGTATATGATCGTGTTTGGCATGCAGCTCTGTTAGTGAAATTATTGAGTTTTGGTATGCCGATCGAGTTATTGAAAATAATCGAAAGCTGGTTAAAAGATAGGAGGGCCTATGTTGCGTTTGGTGAAAAAACGTCAACAATGTTCAATATAAGTATAGGACTTCCTCAAGGTAGTAGTTTAAGTCCATACTTGTTCATAGTTTTTCACTGCGATTTAATAAGCTGTTTAGGAGCACATTCTTGTTAACTTTTCGCAGACGATCCGAGTGTTTTAATTAAGCCACCTATTCTGAAGGAACTAGCTCAAATGATTCAATATATAGAGAAAGAAAGTACTCGAATCTGTGATGAAATATACGCATACTCGAAGAAATGGAAGCAACCAATAAATGTGACTAAAACAGTAGCACAACTATTTCATACACAAGTAAAAAGACCTATAATAAATGTAACAATGAACGGGGAACAAATCGAGTTATTCAGAGAATTCAAGTGCTTAGGGTTCACATGGACGGATAAGTTATCCTTGAAACCTACTGTCGATAAATGTATCGCGAATATTCAAAGATCTTTAGGTAAGCTGAAGTGGTTACTGTCTGATAGAATTGTATCATTTAAAGTACTTCGTCAATGCTTCTTCGTATAT